CTGCCAGTCTATCACTGAGATGAATATTAGTGTCTCGTGAACTTATGATCAGTTTTGGTTATTTATAGAATATCATGGGTTTGATCTGGTTCGTAGTTCTTGTTATTCAGGTAGTTTAATATCAATTCCAAATTATTTGTGAAAACTGGATAAAGATGGTGAAACTCTTTGAATTATATCCTGTTTCAGTTTTCCCTGTTCAAGTCAACCAACCACAGGGTTCATGGTGGTTACAGGAAATATTTCAAATTTACAGGTTCTTTATCATTGCAGAGATAGCATTATGTTTTCATACAAATAGACCTTTTAACCGTGCAACCTCAGGGAAACTAACAAAGCAATTTTTAAGAATTCCTCCTCCCATCCCCAAAAGATAATCAGTGTACCAGAGCATGAAAAATAAACAAATAATTCAGAAAAATCCAACACAGTGCCACCAGCATTGGAAACAGGAGATGGTATTTAAGGGGGACACAGAAGACTGACCACTTTCTTTATTCTATTCACCTCATTCTCTCCCAGGATCCACAGTCATTAGGTTAAGAATTCTATAGGGCTGAGCCATAGTATTTTCCCCCTTAATTTTCTGTGGCCAGCAAACCTCAGACATTTAGTAACCACARTGCAAACCTTAAATCCACTTTACCRTCYCTTGCATTTCCAGCAAGTAATCTTTCCTTCTAGTACCAAAGAATTAGGTCAATAACAGTTTTTTTCACATTCAGCTTACGCATCAGTTCAACTTTGTAARCCTCAGTCATATCCCTCCTGAGATTTCTCTCCAGACTGAASATMCYCAGCTTCTWAGMCTCTCCTCACAGTGCAGCYACTTCAAACCTTGGCTCATTTTATCTTCATTTTATCTGCCTCCCTCCATGAGYAGTCTGTGTGCCCATCATATCCTCTGGCATGTGCAGGATCTGCACACAGTGGCCAACATGACATGCCACAATGTTTGATATCAGCAAAACAACCGTTTTTGGTTTTGTTCATAATACCTTTACTGATGCAGCCTAAAATGTTACAGCTTTTTTTTTTTTTTTTTTTTTTTTTTTTYCTGCCACTGCATCTTGTGCCCGCAAACACTGTCAGTGATAAGTTCAGGATCACTTTCTGGAGTTGTAACAAGCTCAGCATCACTTAAGCGTAGGATAGTGTGTTTGTCAGAAATATTCCTTGCCTCAATTTGTCTCTGATGATCATCTGCCACTTGTTGCCCATCTGTTCAGTTTTGGAGTTCCCACTATCAACTCAGCCTTTGACTACCTGAGGCTTAATGTCATTGGCATCCTTGGAAATGTCATCATACCCCTCCTGTTTCCAACTAAATTCTCACATTCATGCACCTTCTAAAAATATCTGCATCACTTTCTGTTACTCCTGTAATTGTTCCCCTCCTCCCCTCAGCCCCTTTGAATTAAGGTTGAGAAATGTGTTTAGAATGGCCTGTCAATGCCCAAAATAAAATTTCAATGCCTCATATAAAAYGGTGCAGGATTATCAAAATCAATTTCTTTTATCTGGGTAAACAAATAATAAAACCAGAGCTTACAGTATATAAAGTTTCCTTGCCAAATAATACTTAGCAACTATACATTTGAATCTGAAATCACTAACAGATTTCAWATCTGGAATTGATTCAATTGCCAATTTCTTGCCACTTTATCTTGAGATCTGCTGAGCAAAAAAATTTAATAGAAAACAAAATTTCAGTTCATCACTGCTCCTCTGAGCTACTGAAAATCAGCTWTAAAGCAGAGCATAATGCATTTACTACAAAGACTAAAACTTGAAAMCTATTAAAAGTTTAGAGTCAGTTTTCTTTTCTGATTTGCAGAAGGTTTTAAATGTTAATGTCTATCTTATTTTTCTTTACAATTGTTATATGAAAATGCATTATACCCAGTCTGCTGTCTCTTCAGCATCACCTTCTTCAAACATGGTTTTAAAATGTGCTTCCATGTTATCATACTCAAAAATGACTTTAAAAAATCTTAAGATCCCCTTCATAATAATAAAATTCTTTTAACTATGAAAATTCAATTTCTAGGAAACATAGACAAATATAAAATGACTGTTAAAACTTATGTGAGTCAGAATATAATCATTCTGAATTTGCAGGTGCTTTTTGTTTAAATATTCTATTAAAGTTATTCTGAAACAGAGAACTCAAAATATGTCAATTGACCCATATTTATTGCAATTTATATTCAGCCGAGATATTGAAATAAAATTGACATAGTACCAACACATGCATTGGGCAACGCCATGACTACATTAGCTCTTTTGGACTGCAAGCAGAGGCCACTTCCTTAATTAAAGAATTTTGGATGAGATTGGTTTCAGGTMTTAAAAAGACAGAACCTGATTGTACCGAAAACCAAATTAGAACAAATAATGAAAAACTAAAAGATGTCARAGCATAAGAGCTATGCAAATCCCATGACACTGTGGCTATATAAGGACTGTGCAGCTGATAAGCCTATGGTCTTTTCATGCCCAAGTTCATCCATAACTGAGACTTAGTTATAACATGGCACTTTTTCCTGTCATATAGGTTTCTTTCCTTTGAAAATCCAGTCTAGGAGAGTAAAAAGATGAAGGGAAGAAAATGAAACAGAAAAAAAAAAAGAAAAAGAAAGTCACCAAAAAACCAAAAGAAAACAGAAAAAAACAAAACACTACATGGACTGGGAGGCAGCAGCCAGGGTAGGATGTATTTCCAAGACCTGGGAGTAAAAATGTATTCCCTGGCTCTGACAGAGCTCTCTGACAGAGCCAGGGAGATTGGGAGGTGAATAGAAGCATCCTGATGAACATAAGTCTCACTAAAGTGCACCAGGAACATTTATATCAGTTTAACACAACATTATCTGTATTCCTCCTGGTGCAATGCATTTATTCTTGCAAAGTTYGTTGAGGTCTCTGCAATCATTTTCCTCAAAATTACACAAGCTGTTGTCATTCCAGAGGAAAACAAACCAATTGGTCAGCATACTAAACWGACAAAAAAGAGGAATGCATGCGAAAGTGTTTATTTAAGAACTTTCATCTAGGAAACCTAACTGGATTATTCTGATTTACAGACCCTAAACTTCCTTAAAATGTAGAATGTGCCTAACACCACATTGAGCCAAAAGATCATTTAGACAGACATTTCCACTGATAAATGATGAAATGTACAGCAACAATCATAAGCAGAACAGGAACACATTTCATATTCTCAGACAAGGCTCAACCACCAATCTCTTTCTTCTGTGTTGCTGAAGCAGATTACAGGGCTGTTAAAACGATGTGTTATTGTTTTCTAAGTGTTTGCACTTACATAACAAGTTAATGCTTGGAAACACAGATGGGTTTCCAGTGTACAAAAGAACAGCTTTTAATGTGACAAATAAAGGCCAAGGACTCCCTTGTGTAACAAGTAACAGTACCATCAACACCTGGAAATACMGCAGAAAGGATTATTTAAAGCCCTGAAGCTTCTGACAGCCGGTAGCATCAGCTTGTTGCATCTCCTTCTTTTAACACAGGATCACTTATGAARGAAAAGACCTTTAAAATCTTTGAGTCCTACCATTAACCCAKCATTCCTGTYRCTAAACTTTGTCCCTAAGTGACACATCTTGTGTCTTATAAATACCACTGGGAAACCTTATAGCACCTTCCAGTACCTAAAGAGGGACTACAGGAAGGCTGAAAAGGACTTTTCCCAAGAGCATGTAGTGATAGAACAAGGGGGRATTGCCTKAAGAGRGTTTAGAATAGATATAAAGGAGAAATTATTTTCTTCTGAATTGTGAGGCACTGGTATAGGCTTTCCAGAAGGTTGTGGGGTTCACATCCCTGGAAGTATTCCAAGCCAGGCTGGGTGGGGCTATGAGAAACCTGATCTAGCAGAAGTTTCACAGTCTACGTCAGGGGGGTTGGAGCTCGATGAACTTTCCAGGTTCCTTCAAACCTTAACCATTCCATGATTCTATGGTGACTCAACCACTTCCCTGGGCTGCCTGTTCCAATGATTGACAGCATGTTCCAAGTGAACCTTGAATCACGATTAGTCAGTAATAACCTCCCAGGACATTCCTTTATGACTCTAGAAAACATTTTCACAGCTTTTGCACCCCTGTGGCTCTGAACAGAAAATGGTGCAGGACACAGCAGAAGTAAAAACACTTGCTACACACTACCAGTTCTTCCAGTACATCTCCAGCACTCATTAATGTACCTCTATAATTAGTATTCTGGGTTTAAAAAAACATGAATGAAGAAAGCTCTACCTGTATTTTGGGCTATATTTTAAAGCAGAATGGCAYACCCAGTAAGGCCTAGCAGGTGGGTAAGAACATATTCTTTAATAAAACCTACGTTAACAGCAACCTTTTTTCCCATGGGAAATCCTCTTTTTATAGGTATAAAACCATTTTTGTATTATCTGTAACTCAAACACTTTAGCTTTCTGTGACTGCATGAGAAAAACAAATTGAACTAAAAGTGATCATAAATATTATKAAATTGATCAATCCATTCTTCTGGTTCAGCCTATAAAATGTAGATGCTAATTGCACTAATTTTGATAGATGAATTAGATTAAGATTACGTGTATAATGAAGTATGGTATTATTAGCACTAGTGCTTTAATGCCATACAATCAAACAGAAAGATTATGAGGCAATTGTAAATTCAGTCTGTAAATGGACTGTTCTACTTTAAAATTGAGCAATTATGTATGCTTGTTTGTTTTTGTTTTTTTTTAAAGATCAGGAGTTAAAATATAAAAAAATATGGAGTATGGAAAGGAGTGGTGATCACAGGAGTAGGTAGGGAAAAAAAAAATTATGGTGTATAAACAGGTTATAGGATGTAAAATGAAATTACTGATAACTCCTTATATATTTGASAACTCTAGAAGTTGGGAGTTCCTTCAAAATTTCAAGCCCCAATCAAATCTAACATAAATAAAAACAATTTCACAACATTTTTATCCTCTTTTAACCTACCTCTTTTTTTTCTCTACCAACTGTCTGCAAATCTCCTTCCACCGGCTATTCAAACTTTCCAGTTGTTCCTTCAGCACCTTGGCATCTGCTGTTGATGACTGCCCAGTGATCTCCTCACCAGTTGCATTCAATTTTTTGACAGCAGTTTGCTGCTGCCCAATGCCATCCTGAAGATCCTGCAAAACACCCAACACATTCACATCTTCATAAGGAAGTTAAGCACAAACAAAATACTTCATCGCACAATGGCCAGATGGAAAGAGGTGAAAGCTTTTGGTCTTCTTGGAATTCCAAGTGAAAAATCCAAAGATGAGTAGACATAAAGACATTTCATCATTTTGTAACAAGTTCCTCTCAGTGCAGCCTTTTATTCCCTCCTCTATTGCTGTCTACTAAAGATCATCAGTAATATTCTGCATATCAATTAATAAATAAAACTTGTGAACAAATGTACTTTGACACACCCAAAGGAATTTATCACAGTTATTTAGTAGTCTGTAAARCACTGTAAGATTTAAACTGCACCGTGTATGAAGTTCCTATTACCTATCAACTCAAACAAGCAAAGTCAGGAAAGCAGAGACTGTTTGAAAAACTTTGATTCCACTAAAGAACACATTCTCTCCGTTTGTGAGAAACATAATAACTCTTTCCTTAATAACCCTTCATGTGTTTTTTTGTTTGGCTTTCTTTTGTTTGTTTGTTTGGTTTGGTTTTTTTTTGTTTGTGCTTTGGGATTTTTTTGCGGGGGAGGTTGGATTTGTTGCTGTTGCTGTTTATTGGGTTTGGTTTTGAGTTTGGTGTTGGTTTGTTTAGCTCTTTTTTATTTTAACAGGACTGGGAGGAACTACACTTGTAAGAAAAAGTATTGCAATGTTTCTACTTATACACAGAATTAAAAACTACCAAATGATAACCCATWTGGACCATTCTCTAGTTTTACTAAATGCATTGGGATACATTTTTCTACATCTTTTATGCGAAAATAAAATAATTATTCTAGCAATATTCCTCTAGATACTTCATATTTAAAAACAACACAGTTCTGAATCTGTAGCTTAGATTTTAACACTGTATGCCTGTTGAAGCAAGCTCATATTTATAAACAATATTTTCATATTTTKATTCAACAGTAGAGCAGGAGTATTTTTCCCTTGAATTCCTCAAAATGTACAAGCAGAAACATGTAAAATAATTTTTGGCAGTTTACTGCTAAAATAAGCAGGAACTGAAATAACATCAACAATCTACACTGCRATATTCATACTTATGACAGATTTTCACAACCTCAGGAAGAGTGTCAGAGTCCTATCTCCATACAAGGGCTTTCAAGTAAAATGCTGAATCCTCTTTTTCTGGAAGAAACCAAATACTTCAGCATATCATACTCCAGAACAAAATTACATGTTTGCTTTCTCTTTCTAAATGCACAGTATAAACTGCAGAGATTGTCAGTAAACCTGAATATTAACATCAAATAAAATGCTCCCATTAAACAGTTAAAACTGGTAGGATACAACTTTCCAGGAATGTAGAAGATGAACATAACTACTCCTCGTGCTTTTTTTTTTTAATATACATCTTTGGTCATGAGGTAATGATTGAAGTTCACAAACTGAACCACTATGGAAGTTTACTTGTTCTAACATGATCAAAACTCATTTGCCAGCTACTACTTCATTAAATTGCACAGAGTGAGCTGAATGCCCTGTCTCAGCTTTTACACAAATTTCACAGGGACAGCTTGAACACCAACACCAGCAGAGCCTGGGGCACCTGCAATGTCAGCAGGTTGCTGTGGTGTTTACTCACAATCCTAGACAGGAGTTGTAGCTAAAGCAGAGTTTGCATTGTTGAGATTTATCTTATTCTTACAGCATTTCTGGTTTTCTTACAGTTTCTTTTAGGTTGTTACAGCAGATATGCCCCCCCTCCCTGCCCCCAATTATTCCTTAGATCCCTCTCAGTAAAAAACTGTTCTGCTGATATTTTGGGGGTTTCTTTCCAAACTATTTTCAAGTCCCACAGTTTCAGAATAAGAAGTAGTCGTGATGAGCATAATGTGGCAGTAATCTGCACCCTGTTTTATTGTGTTTTGGTATGATGAGAAATGTTTTTTCTGCAGGATCCGTGCAAGCTCTSTGACAGTTCAGTTGCATCTCCTCAAGCATCCTGCTTCCCTGCAGTGTCCCAGCACACTTTGCTTTGCCTCTGGAATGTGTAAGGTTTTTAAGATACCTTTGTAGCAGAAACTGCAAGATTTTCTAAGACCCAGAAAACACATATAAAAGCCTCTTACTTCGATGAAATAGATTTTTTTTTTCTTTCTACAATGCACATTAGTACGGTAATACCTATTCCAACTTTTTATTGTTATTTTCAGGTACATGATTTCACCATAAGGAATAAATAGCAATAGCCAGGTAGTTTGTATAAATGCAAATATTGTCTACTCTTGTGAGCCTGAATTGGCCTTTCCACTCCACACTTCTTTTGGTAATGCCCAGCTTAAAATGAGTACCTAGTTTTAGTACATATTCATTKTATTTTACATTGATTTTAGCACTAGAGCCTTTGCATTGTGCAGTTTGGAGCATTACAGGGGTAAATCATAACAATGCATAGTTCTAGGTAAAATATAATAAAATAACTGGYTCATTTCCAGCGAGGCATTTTAGACCTTTGTGAGATTGCACAAATCTGTGTGAAGTTTAGATCCATACCACTTACTGAAAAAAATAACTCAGAACAAAGCTTCTCCTTATATGCAGACAACCACTCATTTGGAATAGGATATCAAAGTAAAGAGAACAAAGAAGGGAAATTCTACTGCTGGAAAATTGAAGTTTTAAGAAGCAAAATTTGTAGAAATTACTGATTATCTGTGAATCCGTTTTTCTAAGTGACAGAAACAACAACCAGCCAGTATACTACAATAAAGTGAAATGCTAAGTAAAAGCCCATTTAAATACTCTGAGCCTTTTTCCTGTGTTCACAGCATCTTAAACTAGGTTTTCTTCCTCCCCCAGCATATACAAACAAAAAAAGAGCAACTAGTATATTTCCACATTTGTTTCAATTGACACAAGTTAAACAAGGGATTTTCTCATTTATCCTCTGTCATCTTATGTAATAGACCTTACTTTAAAAGTGAAAAATAAAATAGCCAGCTCCAAGGCAGGACTGGTCTTGGAACTTAAGATCACTAATGCTGGAATGGGAATCTTGCACAAGATGCGTAGGGAGGAGAAGTGTGAACTTCCACCAGAACATGAGAGAAGCCTTCTGGCCATCTGCATTTCAGATCACCATAAAGAATTCAAATTGAGATGTTTTTTTTTTACCCAAGTGCTCTATGCATTCGACACTTTTCACCTGATTAAACAGAAACACATGTGCTGATGAAGTTTGCCTGGATTTTACAGCCCATGAAAGATTTTTGTTGGTAACCCGTACTGCACAAAGCACAGCCTGCCATGAAGACAAATAACTTTTAAAAAAAAAATTATGTATGAAGAGAATAAAAGCTTTTAACTGTTTTGCTCAAAGCCACATTTTTACACACTCATCCCAGAGCTATTAACCACAAAGGTACTTTTCACAACCTTTATTAACTACATAAAAGTTTTCAGCAGCTATAGTTTCCTATTAACATCCCCCTCCATCCTTGCCACACATCTGCATGAAGGCAAAGTGCTGGGATTCAGCACAACCTTGCCTCCCACAGCTTTATGGTTTATGGTTCTACAGAAAATATTGGCTGGGAATGTTTTGGGTAGCTTCACTTGAACTTTCACCTCTTCATACAGAAATGACAAAGCAAAAGGGCACATTGCCCTTTGGATATTCCCAGCTTACTCAGAAGGCCATTGGAGATACTTACACTTGCAATTATACAGTTTCTAATCCCTTTATGAACAGAGTGAGCCAACAAATTTAATTAAAAATATATATTTTGTGTAATATTAAGAATTACAGATACAAGAAAGAATCTTTTCACAATGAGGATGGTAAAATACTGGAAGAGGTTGYCCAGAGAGGTGGGAGATTTTCCATCTCTGGAAATATTTAAGGTCAGACTGGACAGGGCTCTGCTCTAGTGGAACACATCCCTGCACATTGGAGGGATGTTGGAGTAGATGAACTTTGAATGTCCCTTCCAACGCAAACTGTTCTGTGATTCTACAGTCWTATAGGCAGAGCTAATCACAATTTTGAGTGAAGATAATTTTTATTGCACTTTTTGTTTTATTTGTGCTGCATTTTTAGCTGCTGAGAACAGCAGAAGATGCTATAAAAACCCATGACTTTTATTTTTCTTCCTTGTGATTTCCAAGTATAAGCAGGAATTGACCAATCATTAAATTATGGTTTAAATAATCTCTCAGACTAAAAATTGTAGAAACAGTATATTAAAGGATTTCTACCTCTCATACAGATGTTTTATACTTTGAGAATTATTTCAATTAATTTAGTATAATGACTTAAAACTACCAAGACATTCATATGGTGCTTCTTTGATTCAGTTACTATTTATGTTTTCCAAGACTTATATAAAATGAAAAATTATACATACTCTTTCAGAAAACTTGAAAGTGAAATAGTAAAAAAAAGAAAAAAAAAAAGACATATAGGAGGGATAAACACAGGTGAAAATATTCACCAAAGCCAAAAGAGCTGCCTCTGCAATAGCAGGGGACTTGCTCACAATAAGATTGAGCACCCTTGCCTATTTCACTGCTGGTATTAATTTTATTTCTCATTTGTACTTTCTAGAAGCAACTGCTTAATGACAACACAAAAGCCACTGCTTTGAAATTTGAATTAAGCATTAAAAAAAAAGAAAAGGGGGGGAAAAAAGGAAAAAGTGGAAAGATAAATTCTCAGAGGAGTTAACTTGACACTTCCAGCATTACTTGTGACCTCCCCAAGTGTATGTAGAACACTATTTAATTTGTACCTCCAAACACTCATAGGTTTCTGCATCAATATTAGCATATCTCTGACTTGTAAAACTRTTCTTAAGGTAATTATTAAACAAATCACAGATTCTTGTGGCAAAGTTGACAAAGTTGTTAGTAACACCATTATCCTTTAGAAAATACTTTCCAACTACTTTGTATGCTGCTTTCTGAGAGACCCTAAAACTACAGGCATTCCTAGCATCACCTTGGGCAA